AAGGCATGAAAGTTATCCCAACTGCCCAACTAAAGCAAGCAGACACCTCTGTTGGGCAGCAGCAATACAGGAAGATGCTGGGGGTGGATGATTATCTGATTAACAATGACAAAACGATCATTTCATGGTATGTGGGAAAAGGCAATGGTAAACCATTCGTGTATATTACCAAGAAAACCACATGAACAGAAAGTTATAAAGTAATTGATGATGTAATGCCAAATGATGGGCCTCTCAGGTCAAACGGCATTCAACATGTTACTGAGGAAATGCTGAGGATCTTTTGGAGTATTAATATTTATGATAAAGCTGGATTAAAAGCCTTCAGAATGTCTAGTTGCTGAGGTTGCCATGCTGAAAAAGAAAATCTGAAGCTGCAAAGATAGAACTACTGTGGGAACATGGAACATAAGAAGCATGAACAAAGGAAAGCTCAACACAGTGTAAGATAAAAAGAATCAATTACATATTGACATCTTATGCATCAGCAAATTGTAATGGATTGGATTTGGACACTTTCAGTCAGAAGATCATACTGTTTACTACTTAGGACAAAGAACAAAGAAGGATTGGTATTGTTTTCATAGTCAGGAAGTCTACAGAAAAGACAATACTGAGATACAATGCAGTCAATGGCCAAATAATACCAATTAGATTTTGTGGACAACTCTTTAATATGATATTTACCCAAGTTTATGTTCACCAGCTTGATGAGTTTTATGGTCTACTTCAGTCTGAAATCAACAGAACATTCAAACAAGTTATGTTGCTTGGAATTGAAGATTGGAATGCCAAAGATGGACATCATCCATCCATCCATTGTGGAGAGATGGGCGGGGACAAGTCCACTAAATAAATAAATAAATAAATAAATAAATAAATAGAAAAAAACATAGTTCAGCCATATGACCTAAGAAACAGAAATGAGAATGGCTCATCAGTTTCTGCCAACCCAATGATTTTTCGGTACCTGCCCTCTGTGATGCTATCCCCCTAAGATCCACCCTTTCTGTAATTTCAGAAGACTTTGAAGATCTGGCTTTGCTCCCACACCTAGGGTAAGGGTGGAGGTTGAGCCCCTGATAGTTACTGGTTTCTTGGTAAGTTGTGATTTTTCTGGATATGTATGCTTGTTTTCTACTTTATTGTTTCCTGTCCTTGGACGTAAACTATCCAGAGTAGTCATCTATGAGTCAAATAGCTTCCAAATCTAATAAATAAGTAGTAACAAATTCTTCTAACAACCAAACAGCGCCTATATACTTGGACATTACCAGATGGAGAACACAGAAATCAATTTGACCTTTTTTATTGGTACAAGGAGGGAGAACTCAATTATCACAACAAAAGACTACAGGGCTGACTGTAGAACAGATCACAGACTGCTCAAGAAAGAAACTAAAGCAGCAGAAGGAAGCCAAACAGTTTCCATGATAACATCATAAGTATATACTCACCATTTTCATCATTTCATCCTTTTTTGCAAACCATGTACAATTAAAGTTCTTGGATGCCTGGCTTAATAATGTGTACAATTTAAGCATTCTAAAATACGGACAGAAAACCTACATACTGTACTTCACATGACTATTCAATATACTTTGTAGTTGTGGGGGCAATTTAATTTGGATCTCCTAGGTTCAAAGGTAATATTTTTAAATATGCTACACTTGTGCTTGCATAGGGTAGGATTTTGCTCTGCATTTAAACTCTCAAGATATTGATTTAAAATATTACTTTGGACCTTAACTTTCTTTCTGGAAAATAATCTGTTGCAATGTAGACTTGCATAAATATTTGCTAGTATGAGTTGGGTTGCTGCTGAAAATATATGTAAATTCACATTATGTAATTTTGTGTTAGAGAGGAAATAGTAGAAGTAACGTACCATGTTGTAAAATTAACTGTTTAAATTCCTTTGACATTAAGAATAAAAAAACCTTTAAGTTTGTTGCAACTAAATATAGATTTATCAAAATAAGGTTTATGAGTTGCTATTGTGAAAGCTTATCATTATCAGTTTATGAATGGATCACTGAACAGTTGGAAGAACCCAATATTTTGTGAAGGAGAAGCCAGAGTTGTTAGTAACATCTCAAAGGGTATGATCACTATGATTAGTTGAGATATTAATTGGAATATATATTTTTATGATATAAATATAATTGTCTATATCAGAAATATAGCAGACCATATTTAACATATTTATCTTATTAAACATAGTCTATAATAATTCATTAATGCTTACCCAATAATTCTGGATTAATATGTCCCAGTTTCCTCTTACCTAAAGATTCAGTAATTGATTCAGTTCTGGTGCAAGGGAACTCTTGTTGAATAGGAATTCCATCTATTTTCCCAGAATTCAAGTTGGTTCTCTCTTGATTTTTTTTCATGTCAAGGTGACTTCCCCCATACAACATATACCATTTTTTCCTTTTGCTTACCAAGCAAAGAACATTGAAGACTGTTGTTAAGATGGAAAAGACAAGTGTAGTTTGAATTACATTCTGCCTTGGCTATAGGGGATCCAAGACTGTCAAGCTGAATCTCTTGCTTCAGATATTTCTATTGACCAGACTTCAACAAAACATTCATATCCTAGTATACCACAACACAGCTGGATCACATAGAATATACCTTCTTCTTATTCCAAGAAAGCTATGGAGATCCTGGGGAAGAAAATTGAAGCTTAATCTAAAAAAGACAGAGGAGCTTATGATCAGTTAAGCAGGATGAGAATTGGAGTTCAACCTGTATGGGCTGGACTGGCACTTCTCTTAAATACAAGTTTGTAGTTTGTTGTAATGTAGCTATTACCATGAATGTCCAGACTTTGACTATGACTGACATTCTCATTTTAGGCTAGAGCTTATTCCTGGAAAATGCCTGTATAGGCATGGTGATTGCAACTGATTTGCTGCACCACTTCTCTGCATATGGTTTCCTTTTGAAGAGAGTTCATACAAAGCATTGTTTTGTTGAAACAATTGGACTGATTTTCTGGGTTTGTTTTGAGACCCAATCCAACATACAAATACAAATACAGTGGTACCTCTAGTTACGAATGCCCCTACTTACGAATTTTTCGAGATACGACCAGCTCCGGCCCCAAAAATTTACCTCAACTTGCGAACTCACCTCGACTCATGAACCGGATCCGCGGCCATTTTCCGCCCGTTCCACGTGGTCCGCGGCCATTTTTCTGCCCCTGACACGTGGTCCGCGGCCATTTTTCCATCCTGCCGCGTGGTCC